CAGGAGGGACCTTCGAAAGGTCCAGCTAGCTCAGATCACCAGTGAGTGGACCTTTTTGTTTTCATAAATGAATTTATGCAATTTAATCTTATTATTTGATCTTGAATAAGTTATTCATTGCCCAAAGTTTTAATAGCTTGATTTATTGTTGTTTTATACGTTGTTTTATATGCTGCCGAGTTGAGAGTGCCTAGAGATTTTTGGCATAGCCGAATTGTTAGATAATTAACAGATAAATTGGCAGCAGAGTTCAAGGGCAGATAAGAATTCAATTAACTCCTTATTTATTTTTCAGAATTTTATATTTTCTTAAAAGCCACCCTAGGTACCCAAGCATATTAAAGGTTGCCTTCAGTTATATGTTGCCTGCGGTATAAAATGGTTGCCTTCGGTTATATTGATGTCGACGGACATCCAATTGCCTTCGGGAAGGTCAGCATGCTAGACACCGCCCCATGAGTTTTGGGGACGCCCAAACCGTGGGTGTGAGGAACGCGGCTCAGATGGACCAAGTGTCCCTTGAATCCCGCGAGGATTGCGGCTCAGGTGACTTTGTGTTTCCCGAGGTCTGCTAGGACGTGTCGCTCCGGTGGCACGAGGATGGAATTGACGGAAACTAACGGAATTGACGGATTAATAAATGGGTACACCTAGGTGGTAGATTAAAGTGATTTCTATGCTTTTAAGAATTTAATGTTTGTTTAAGTGTGTGATTGGATCTATAGATATAAATATGTATGCATTGATTTCAGTACAATTTTATATATGGAAATGATATAGTTTCATAATTGATTTTACAGAGGGGCTTATTATGTTTTTTTTTTTAACTATGTTTCTAAAGCTTTGTTTTTGTCCACTCACCCTTTTCGTGTTTTGCGCCCCCTAGACTCCTTGACGACGTAGGGACTTGTATAATTATTTTATACTTGTAGGTTTCTGTATAGAGCTCTGATATTGCCCTTGAAGTATACTTAACTGTTGGAATGTATTTATTTTGCATGCTGGCAGTTGGTGTACAGTTTTCCTTGCTTTTCTGACAGGTGTAACTTTGGGTTTGGTCTAATGACAGGGGAGACTCTGCTGAAATTTCGGCAGAAGTCAAACTCCGGTTTTAACAGCACTTTTGAGTAGAAGGGCAATAAGGTCAATTGTGTCTGGCACCTGCTAGGTGTCGGACACGCACAGGGTCCGACTCGGATTCCAAAGTGGAATTTGGGTCGGGTCCTGTCAGGTCTAGTTCTAATAGTGGGAGATATGGGCCTAGGCCAACTTGGAGTCACCATTCTTTACAACAGTCGATGGCCAGTACAGTTAGGGATCCTTCTCGACAGGCGAGCTCAGCCTGTTAAAACTGTAGACAGGTGGGACATTTTAAGAGGGATTGCCTACAACTTGGGCAGAACGGTGGTCCCTGTCAGAGGGGTAGTATGGGTTGTTTCTACCGTGGTCAGGTGGGGCACTTTAAGAGTGAGTGCCCTCTTCTCTCTCTCGGTGGTACTGCAAGAGAGGAAACTGGGGCCCAACAGGGGTAAGATAGTCGAGGTCAGAGTCAGAGCCAGAGTGGTGCTTCATCATCAACTGCGGGTTCTTTATCCAGTAGTAAGGTGCAGTCCACTTTCCGAGGCAGAGGTGGTAGACACCAGAGGGGTCAATCTGTGTGTTTGACTACTCAGGCCCATGTATTCTCTATGACTCAGCATGAGGCACATGCCACACCAGATGTCATAATTTTGGTATGACAAACTTTTGACCTTCGGAAACATACCATACAGATGTTGAAAGGGAAAGCTAGCATAAAGGAAACAGACATGCCAGAAAAGATTGCTTGTGAATTGCATCAATATTGTACGCACGAACACGATTGTCAACATTTTCTTACTGCCTTTTCCTTGATGCCATTGTAGTTGCTCACTTTTCGTTCTTTTGCAGTGTGATCCTGTTTCCGATAGCAATCACTTTCCATATAAGGTTTGCGGGCTGCTACTCAAACTAAATGGGCCCAATTTGAAAGTAAAAGGCCCATCTAATTTATAAGAAAGTAAAAGGCCCAATTTCGAACTATATTTGGATTCCCAATCAATCTACCTATATAACTCATAACTGTATTAGCAGATGAGATGCATGTGACTTACATATAGGCTTCCCCTTCGTCGGTTTAAATGTTAAACATCCTCAGGAGATATTTGATCAAGCATATTCGAACATCCTTTACAGGTTCCATCTAGAAGGAAATAAATGTCTAACTATCCCTCAAGTCTGAACCTTTGGAAAAAGCAAACACTTTGGAATGGACTGGAAGCCAAAATCTGAATTTTATCAAGGAAGTTAGTTCAAAAATTGAGGAGCCTGTGGAGAAGAATTGGGGGCATTTTGTGCTGACAGGAGCTCATGGGTGGACGCCAAGAGGTAACGATTGGAGGCAACAAATCATCTTCACTCAGGGTATCGTATTAGCAAGTAGTCAGTTTGCTTGATCTTGCAACTTAAGTTTATTGTTCAATGTGCATTCTGTTTCTTCCTCAATCTTAACTGAACAACTTCTACTAATTAGGCTGACAATGAATTGTTCTTTCAGTGGCCTTTGTTGAAGTAAATATCAGTTTAGTTGAGTTCAATTTAGATTATTCCCACTTAGGATTCTTTGAATTTTAGGCATAGTTTATGCCTGCATTTGTGGTTAAACATGGTAATGGTCTAATTCTGATCATTGTGAACTACTTAGGAACCACATTCGCAAAAGAAGGACTCAACTCTGGTAGATTCAGGAATTCAATCCCATTGCCTTGCATGTTTGGGTAAGAGCAGTTGCCAAGTAGTTCGTTCAAGAACAAAACTGATGAATAATCTAATTGCGAGAAGGAAGCCACATGAAGCCCAATCCATTTTCAAAAGTTTAGCAGAAGAAGGACACACACCAACTCTTATAACATACACAACTCTTGTAGCTGCCTTGACCCGCCAGAGGCGTTTCAAGTCTATTCCCTTGCTCCTCTCAGAAGTGGAGGAGAATGGTCTGAAGCCCGACTCAATACTTTCTAATTCAATGATTAATGCTTCCTCTGAATCTGGAAATATAAACGATGCCATGAAAATCTTTCAGAAAATGGGGTTTCTGGACATTACAGACACTGATGGAGTTGATGAGGTGCGTTTTTACCTTCAATCCTTTTATTGATTAACTCTCTCTCTGTCTCAATTTCGAACTATATTTGGATTCCCAATCAATCTACCTATATAACTCATAACTGTATTAGCAGATGAGATGCATGTGACTTACATATAGGCTTCCCCTTCGTTGGTTTAAATGTTAAACATCCTCAGGAGATATTTGATCAAGCATATTCGAACATCCTTTACAGGTTCCATCTAGAAGGAAATGAATGTCTAACTGTCCCTCAAGTCCTTAGATATTGCACTGTTAATTTTGGCATTTTAATGGGAATATATCTGCAAAAACTATGAAAAGTGAAATCATGTGTCACTCAGTTCCTCAATTTTCTCACAGAATTTTCACTGACAATCAGCCTAACTTGACAGATACTAACATTGATGGAAGAATTTGGGATGAAGCCAGATGTGATAACATTTAGCACCATAATGGATGCATGGAGCTGGGCAGGGCTCATGGAAAAATGCCAGGAGGTCTTCAATGACATGATAAAAGCTGACATAGAACCAGACATCCATGCATTCAGCGTTCTTGCAAAAGGCTATGTGCGTGCTGGTGAGCCTGGTAAGGCTGAGTCAGTTATGATTTCCATGGGAAATTATGGTGTGCATCCAAATGTTGTAATCTTCACAACCATCATGACTGGGTGGTGCACAGCTGGCAAAATGGAGCATGCTTAGAGTATCTATGAGAAAATGTGTGAAATGGGCATTGCCCCCAATTTGAAAACTTTTGAGACCCTAATCATATGTGTCTTGCTCATACGTCTGCATTTAGAGTGCAACCACTGATCATATGTAGGAGGTAGTTTCAGACTCAAGTTGGGATG